TTTAGGTTTGAATGGATCTCTGCCCTAATTCCTGCTCTAACCCAATGACACTGTTCCTGTGTGCTTCTGATTCAGTCTCTGTACATCCCTATTTCCAGGTCTAGAAAATGGAGATAATGCCTCGCCTTTAATTTGTCTACATGGCAGGAAAACTAGGCCAGATTTCTAAAAATACTCAGGCATTCACAGAGCTAAGCAATCGCATAATAAGATTTTCAGAATATCACAGGTTCAGATTCTCTTGGACTGAATCAATTTAATGCTTGCTAATGAAACAAATGGGGCTCAGATCCTGAGGACTGTGTGAAAGGAAGTTGTAGAAATATTTGCCTCTTTCTTCTTGCATAAACAAATGAGAAGAAATCTTGAAATTTTTGTTTATTTATTTATTTATTTATTTTAATTGAGGATGCTTGTCTTGGAGCTTTTCACTGAAAGGAAGAATTGCATACACAGACCCAAATAACAGCCTCTTTTCAGTTGCTTACTGTCACTCTGTACAGTTAGCTGATTTTTCGAGAGGCTTCAAGATTGAAGTGTACTTTAGTTTGAAACTCCCTTTCTTTGATCTAGCGTTGGTCACAAATGCAGTGTTATAAAGGCTTCTGGTTGATATGATTCAGAAAGCATTTCAGAAAACTGTTTGGCTCTGTGGAGAGGATTGATTTCTTTGTCAGCAATACTGATTGACAGTCCAAACCCACATAGTCTAAAAGGAGATTCAGAGACAGTATCTGACAGTCCATCACAACAGACCTCTCAATTTAGCAAAGTCCTGATGTGCAGGAATCATGCACTGGGTTTAACTGTGGGATTAGGCATATAAGGAAATGATGAAGCATGCAATGAGGCTGCCAGATTCTGTGACATAAATGGCATGGGGAAACACTGTCCCGTGGGAGGGATTGCTACTGGAGCATCTGTCTTTCAGGGATACCTCTGCCTGGCTGCAGCTGTACCCTGCCCAGAGAAATCATGTGCTGGGCACAGGTACTTGGGGGTCAGGGCTGGTGAGTGTGAAGGGGGAGCCAAAAGCAGGGCTTGTGACCCCGTGTGGGACTCATTGGGGCTGGCACTACCTCAAGCAGATGTTGCCTTTCCCTATTCTCAGCAGTCTGAGCTCAAAAATGCCATCAGTCTGAGCTCAGTCAGGCTCTCTAACCTGTACCACAAGCATGGCTGGGTCCTCTGGAAGTCATTTCACAGTGCTAGGGTCTTCACCAGAGCTTCTCTCCTGGAAAAGTATTCAGAAACCTGGATGAATCATATTACCAGTGCTAAGCACTGAATCACATGACTACCACATCTGTCAGCAATGAAATTTATTGTTAAAAAATAAGTTGGTAGGATTCTTCAAAGTGTTGGCACCATTTTATCAGCATTAGTATTTGAATCGTAGAACCGTATGAGCTTTCCAAAGTATTAATTTAATTGCACAGCCATGTTCTTATCTAATTTGCCTCTAGCCAGATCTTAAAAATGATTTAAACTTCAAAGATGATAGTAATCCCACATGCGCAAAGACACTTGGAAAAACTATTTCTTTGAAATGTAACCAATTACAAACTCATGTTGATTGCCTGTGCCTTCTTCACATCATTAGCTTTTCTGTGGACATGAAGCATTTATAATTTGTCAACTGCTACCACTATTTAGACTCAGTTTGGTTTTCCCATATTAATTAAAAACTGCAATTAAATAACAGTAACCCCCTCACTATGACTCAGTCTCTGAGTGTGCCTCTGGTCCTTGTTTGAGAGCGAGGAGAAAAAAGAAGTTATGTCAGAAATTGCTGGGATGTTTTTTTTTCCTGATTATCCCATAGAGACACTCTGTGGAGATAGTAGTGACTGGAAAAAGAAGAGAGACAGACTTCTTTCACTGAAGTGGAAAGGACTGTGGTAAATCTTTATGTTACATTTTGATCTCACAGTGCAATACAGGACTAACAAATCATGAACAGAAGATGGAAAATAAAATATTATTTTAAATGTCCTTTAATTATAGGCCTACAAAAATCTTAGTGAACTTCAGTTCATTTAAAAATGATTCCAGTGCTTGAGGGGAAGTACACACCACTCTTTACTGTATCGACCCAAAAAGGAAAGAGGAGCATTAAAAAAGAAGATTTCCTCTTGAAGGTGGTCAGCACTGTGTTTAATAGTCTTACTTCAATAAATTTTAAAAGATCCAGTTGTAGCTGCTGAGTACATTTAGGAAAGAAAGAAAGGCTCTGTACATAAGCTTTATCATATTGCATAAGATTTGTCTCCACTAATTGAATTTTTATGTTGTTTGAGTGACCACATAAAACAGGGAGAGTAGGGTACCTCAACTTCTGTCTCCTGATGGAGATGACATACTTACTGTAGCTAAGGTTTTATAACAATTAATCTGTCTGAACACAACATACAGAGAAGACATATCTCTTAATGTTTGTCTATCCAGATTCCATGAGAGCTGTTTTTTGAACAGCTTTGTTTTTGTTGAACAGCTGTCTGTAGAAAGAAGAGTGAGACAGTGAAATGTATTTTTTAAATTGATACAGATTTCAGTAGATAGCTATTTGGAGTTATTTTTGGAGAAAAAAAGTTTTCAGAGTAAAAAACTATCACTTCAAAATACACTTTGCTTTTCTACAGGGAAAAGATGCTTCAAAATGGTTTTTACTGAGCTGAAAACTTGGAAGAATACAAAGAATTTATTTTTGAAGATAGGAATCTTTTGTGATAATTGCTGGCTTTATGGCTGAATTTGGTTTGAACAAAAAAAAGTATCTTTTTCATAATACAAAGGATTTTTTACTCACTCAATATTCTAACTTCTGTGAAGGTAGACAGAAATATTTTATCTTAATCAAAGCAAAAGGGTAATTGCCTTCTTTATTCCCACTTCATCTCTTCCCATGCTGTAAACATGCTCAGTTAAAAAACTTAGCTGCCTTAATAAAGTCTATGTTATCCCTTGGAAAATCCACCCATTCAGAGACTGCAACACAGCAACATTTGAGCTATAGCTTAAACTTAAGGACTGATGACACTATGAAAGCTAAAATGTTTTAGAGTTGTCAATCCGAGTGCTGAATGGTGTGTCTACTTCTTCCTAAAGCACAGTTCGCTCACTGTCCATACAAATATGTAATATAAAAGTTAAAATTAGTCAAGTAGCTTCTTTTATGTAAAAATAAATACTTTGTTCCCTTCCTTCTCCCCCAAGACCCTGTCAATAATAGTCTATCCTCCTCTGACTGTCCTTCAGTACACAGCAATTCCTTGGCAAATCTATCACAGGTGTCCTATGGACTAGATCTCTGACCTGGCAGCATGGATTTCCAGCCACACAGGCCATGGAGGGGAGAGTAATCACTAAGTCATAGAAATGTGGGAAGGGACTTCTGGTGGTCACCTAGTGCAGGTTTCTGCTCACAGTGAGGGTGCTGCCAGCCCTGGATCAGCTTCCTGGGGTCTGTCTAGCCCAGCCTTGAGCACCCCAAAGGACATGTTTGCATCTCCTTTCTGGGTAGCCTGACCTAGTACTGCACTATCCTTCTAGCAAATCCAGCTCGATTCTCCTGAGCAACAGATTGTAGCTGTTGCCCTTGGTTATAGTATGTGCCTTAGTATTGGCTGACAGGGATTTGCTTCATCATCTCTGTAACTGACATTCAAGCAAGGTGCTATTAAAGTGTCCCGTAGTATTCCCTTTTCCAGACTGGTTTCCTTCTCTCAAAGCATTGAAACCACTTTATCTGTGAGATGATGGAAGCTCTCTTTTCTAGAGAAAGACTGGGAGGGAAGCCATGCAGCTAAGACTCAGCTTTGGGGAGCAAAAAATCAGGGACTGCCAGATGGAAGCCCCTGCGGAGCTACCGTGAAGGGAAAGGTGCCCAGGAGATCTGGCTGGTTTCTGAAGGAAATTACAGCAGACCACACCTCAGCATCTCAGGTGCTTCCCTCTGCTTTCCCTGATTGTGATATTGAGTGAGAGCCTTACTGTTTCACTTCCAGTTTCATACTGAAGCTTAGCATATAGCATGACTTCTTCCTCTCATCAGCTTGTGCTCATCCATGACCTTGTTGCAATCTTACCACGTCTCTGTGATCACAGTCCTGCTCTAGCCCTGTGATTGTGCCTGGACTTGCAGATCTTCCTGATGCCCAGGCTCTGTGCATAAGCTCTGTTCAGGTGTTAGAAGAAAGGCTCCCATAGTGAGCAGGAAGGCAAAAGTCCCTCCATGCCAGGGGGCATTTTCCCTTACACATCTTCTCATTACAGCTCTTCTCCCAGTGAACCTAGTTTAAAGATCTCCTCAACAGTTCAGGAGATGTGGTCATGAAGTTACTCTTCCCTCTCTTGGTTTGGTGAGTCCCCTCTCTTCTTTGTTCATACTAAGACAAAGCAAAGTTGTGAAGGAAGCTGAATGTTGCCAGTTGCTCCAGCTGTGTAGTCACACACTGTTAGATGTCTGCTCCATGTTGGGTCTCCTTCCTGAACTATAAGGTTTAATGAAAATATCACGTGGGTTCCCGAGTCTCCTCTCTCTTCCTTCTGAGACTTTTCCGTTCAGGGTTTCCTGTGGCTGTATTATTTGTGCTCAGTGGCTCAGCAGCAAAGAGAAACAGCCAGACAATTGACTGAACCAATCAGTTCAGTCAGTATCTCTGCAATGTCATAGCAATCTCAGCAATCATCTGCAATGTCATGGCAATCTCTCTGCACTGTCATAGGTCTGGGCTCCAGGCAAGCAAAAAGCCTCCTGGGATGATAAGTCTGGCTAGCACCAGGTGCTTCTGTCCCTTGCAGAAGGGACTTACCTGTCATTAACAGTCAAATCTCTACAGATATCTTTAATATCTTTATCAATGATCTGGATGAAGGATTGAGTGCACTCTCAGCAAATTTGCAGACCACACCAAGTTGGGAGGAAGAGTCTGCTTGAGGGTAGGAAGGCTCTACAGAGGGATCTAGACAGACTGGATCAATGGACTGAGGCCAACAGTATGAGGTTCAGCAAGGTCAAGCGCTGGCTCCTGCCCTCCAATCCCAACATCCCCATGGACCACTACAGCCCTGGGACGGTGGCCGGAGAGCCTCGTGGCAGACAAGGATCTGGGCATGTTGGTCAACAGTGGGCTGAACATGAGCCAGCAGTGTGCCCAGGGTGCCAAGAGGGCCAACGGCCTCCTGGATGGTATCAGAAGCAGTGTAGCCAGCAGGATGAGGGAAGTGACTGTCCCCCTGTACTCGGTGCTGGTGAGGCTGCACCTCAAATCCTGTGTTCAGTTTTGGGTCACCCACTACAAGAAATATATGGAGGTGCTCAAGCATGTCCAAAGAAGAGCAACGAAGCTGGTGAAGGGGCTGGAGCACAGACCTTATGAGGACTGGTTGTGGGAGCCGGGGTTTTTTAGCCTGGAGAAGACGAGGCTCAGGGGAGACCTTATTGCTCTCTAAAAGTACCTGAAAGGAGGTTGTAATGAGGCAGGAATTGATTTTTTCTCCAGAAAAACTACTGCTAAGATGAGAGAAAATGGCCTCAAGTTGTGCCAGGGGAAGTTCCGGTTAGATATTAGGAAAAAAATCTACGTGGAAAGTGTGGTGAAGCATTGGAACAGGCTGCTCAAAACAGTGGTGGAGTCACGATCCCTACCAATGTTCAAGAAATGTGTAGATAAGGCACTTCTTACTTAATAGGCTTGGTGTTGAAGGGCTTACAGTTGGACTCCATGATCTTGAAATTTCAAACACCAACAGTTCTATGATTCTAAGCTCAGGTTCTAATGGTGTTGGTTTTAATCTGAAAATGGACATGTCCAGTTCCGAGCCTTCCCCCAAAGGGGCTTGTTCCTCTTCTATTACAGGAGTTCCTCTTCTATTGCAGAAGATGGGAATGGAGCCTTCCTCCTCCTGACTACAGTCATGAGTTTCCAGCTTTTCCTACCCAAAGAGTCTGTGTCCTTTTTTCCCTTAGTATACCAGCCTTTTCTCCCTCTGTCTGCTGGGAGGTAGAAAATCAGATACAAGGGTACTTTGCCTGCCTGCAGGGTTTCTGATCTGGCTACCCCTAAAGCTGAACAGTTTATTTTGTGAACATCAGGTCTGCTGCATGTTTCTCTTCTGGTATTGTTGACTGAAAAAAACCCAGAGAACTTGATATTTCCTCCCTCTGTAAAATCTCTGTGTATCTACTTCTGTGTAGACCAAGGGAAAGAAGCAGATATTTTATGCTTAAAAAGGTCTCTTTTTCCCATGCAGGTAGATAGCAAGAATTAGATCAGAGGAAACACTCCTCTTGAACATACTAGTTCTGGGAACTGGTGAGTTGTATAAGTACAATTTAGGCTAAGATGAATTTGCCAAATGAGGACCATAAAAATTATATTGTCTCTTCTCCAACAGATCTTAAGGTAGTTAACTGCATAGTTAACTTCCTTTTAAAGTTTTCAGATATGGGGGATATGGATACTTGTCCACCATTTCCAGCAGGCAGGAGTAGCTATAGTTATACAGGAGGCTGAAATAATAATAAAACATTGGAGAATGGGATTTTGGTAGGAGTGTTTAGTATTTCTATAAAGAATGTCCTTTGTGAGAGGTTTATTTTAGGAAATGAGATTTCTGTTTTATAAACATCATAAGACATTATTACAAAAAGCAGAACTGTGTATAGCAATTTCAGGGGCACTTTGGCTAATTCAAAAGTGTGTGGGGAGAAGTGAATTGCATCTTGTCCTCACTTTTGCCAAAAGATCCATAATATTTAAATCAATAACATGCTGGTGCGTGTGGATCCTAATGATACTATGGTGGTCTGAGAAAGTCCTGTTCAATGCACATGTCCCTCCTTCTGGAAATGTGGGAACAATCAGGTCACAGTATGCCTGCATTGCAAGGCAGAGAAAATGAGAAGCTGAGAAACTGGTGCGATGTGGAAGCAAGCAGGCATACCTGTATTACACAGTGCAGTGTCAGGTGGAAACTGCACCTCAAGCCTCAATAGCACCAATGTTTTAATATCTTATTCTATTCATACGAGAAGACCTGCATACTTCTCAAACACACCCTTGAGCTAACAGAGGGGCAACTAACAGAGCCAGAGATGGAGTTGCCTATAAACTCAGGCTAAACCTTGTCATTATGCTTTATTACACTATGGAGACGTATATTCTCTCTTTTTGTGTATCTCTGATAGCATTTGGTAAAACCACTTATCCTTGCCCCTAGTGATTTTTAGCAACTTTTCACCATAGTTTAAAGCCAGAATTTTGGAAAAAAAGGAAGGCTAAATAGGCAAGTAGGCGTTGACTATTTCTCAGCCCGAGTAGTCTTTTCCTCTGAGCTGTTTGCAGCATTTCTAGGTATGTGTTTAAGTTTTTCGCTTGTTTCTCAAAATACCTATACTAAACCAAACCAATCCACTGATATTTTCCAGCTGATCGCTGTGTCTCAGGTATGACTATCTTTACAGCTATATGAAATGTTTGCTAAAATATTCTCATTTATTTCCTGAAAAATATCTCTGCTCAGAACTGTTCAAAACAGAGTTGAACATATAGTCAAACAAGTAGTCATTTGTTGGCCTTAGAAACTTTCCAAATTCAATAGATACAAGGACATTAGAAAACTAGATAATGGTCTATTAACAATTCTGTGCAGCCTCTCTAAAAGTATTGATTCTTCATTCCCCTAAATAGACAAGAACAATTTCAGAAGCATATTCTGACATGGTAAAAACTAGCAATTCAGATAAAAGATATGAAGATACAAGCATATTTCTTTCTTCATGGAAATATATACCCTGTTCAGTAAAATCTTGCAGTCCTCTTCCTTAGCAAAAGCGGTGTCCATGCAAGTTAAAACTTCTGACATCTGAAATATTTATATCAAAAGAGAACTGTTTCAAATTTCTGCCAATGCTCTTCTTGAAGTATATTTACAGAGCTTGTCAAGTGTGCCTGTTTATGGCTGTGCTGGGATGATTGTCATTGATGTGGAAGAAGGATAAGTTTTGGGTGAAAGACCATGTGGGTCCTTGAATGATGTAAGCAGATGACAATTGAGTGGGATTCAAGTATTAGATATTTGCAGTCTAGACAAGTAAATCTCACTGAGCCTATTTTCAAGCAATAGTGTAATTCATGATGCTCTGTGTGAAAGAGAAGATTGTAAAGCATCTAGAAGCATCTAGGGCTGTGTGGATGGACAACTACATAAGATGAACCTAGCCTTGGGAACCATGGAAACCTAAGTTACAGAAAGATTTTGTTTGGTCTTGTCCTTGCTACTTTCACAGCTGGGGAAGAGGGCTACAGTAGAAGTACATTCTACTTATTCTAAGTGGTTAAATCTGTGCTTGAAGGATGTCAGTTATTAATTAAGAACCCAAATTACAAAATGAATGATGTTTGATGCTCCCAGGATTGGAATTTCAACAAAGAAAAAGTGGTCTAGGGATTAGGATGAGAACTAGGGAGCCTTTCAGCTCCCTGCTATTTCACAGACCACCAGGAAAGCTTGGCAGCAGATAGGAGCTGCAAAAGCACACAGGGATCATTATGATTGATTAATTTTGGTCTTCTATTTCTTTCTTTCTTTTTTTTTTTTTTTCTAGAGTTGTGGGTGGGGTTGTTGTTGTCAAATCTCTTTATCAGCCACTTCATCCTCTGTACTGGGTCCAGTGAAGTCCCTGTGAGACTGACCACCTGAATCTAAAGGGAAGTAGCAAACGCATGTGCAAGGGTGACATATGCTGCGCTATGTATTAGCTATCCAGGATAGGTGTGGAAAACTGCAGGGGCTGCTTTGGCACTGAGGGTGCAAAAGCAGTTGCCTGCTGTCAGTGCATGCTCCATCTTGTCCTAGACAGAGATCCAGAGTTTTTGGCTCCTTTGCGCTTAGCAAACTAGTCTCTGAGCAGGTACCCAGACTAAAATTCCCCATGGAGTAAATGTGAGCCTGGTTATTCATTCTTTTTTTTTTTTCTTTAATAAAGCTTTTTTTTTTTCATCATTAGTCAGAGAACAGGAAATAATTTCATCTTATTATAATTCCTACATTTATTTTTAAGATGGGAGGCAGTTAAAAGCTGCAGTCTTGCACACTCCTTTTAATACGTAACATCCTGATTATAGTGGCCCTGTAAAATTAACAAGTATTCAAATAAACCTCAACTGAAGAGGCTGCAAGGCCACCATTACTGCATGACTCATTACAGTGAAGGATGAAGAGCACAGCAGAGTTGTATTAATCACTTGGTTCTGCTACAGTAAGAAGAGGACTTGTGATACTTTATTTTGCCACATACCATGAGCAGAATTAGCTGATAATTGCAAAAAAGCTCTAAGGATGCTGGTAACAACAGAAGGTCTGACTTCTCAGTAATTTGGGGGGTTTCTTTAGTTTTATTTTGTTTTAGAATTTGCAGTTGGCTGGATAATAATGCACAAAAATATGCCAGGTTTTTGCTTTTCACCTGAAAAATACAGCTTCATTTCCTATTTAATGACTTCTTCCCCCCATACTCATTAGGTATATAAAAACCCCACATAAGTTTGAAAAGATAATTTCAATATCAGTGACCTAGAGAGAAGAAAAAAAACAACCTGCAGATACATTTCCAGAGCAAATTTACTAATAACATACCTTGAAGATGCTCTTACAAGAGTCATATGGTATTAGCTTAGTTCTCTTGCCACATGAAGCTACACAAATAGAAAAAAGAGAAATGTGGGTGACGCAAAACTATGTGGTTGCTTAAGCTTTCCAAAGAATACTTGGGATCACACACACACAAGAAGCAAAGACAGCCATCTGAGTGGGGGAACAGATCAGAAGGGGTACTAGAAGATGAAAACCAGCACTGTTTCTAATTATAGGGGGTCCTGGTGTCTTTGGTGTTTTTACTGTTTTCAGGAATGATCAATTTATGGTTGATGAACCAATCTCTGCAACTGGGTTGTGGGCACCAGTCTGGGTTTAAAACCAGACTTATTACAAAAGTTCTCTGATGGGAAATTTGGTCAGAGTCTGGAGCAAAACACGTGACAGGAAACTGCTGATAGACAAAGATGTTATAAACTATCATTCAAGGATCATACCTAGTCCAGAGTAAACTTACTGCTGCTACTCATTTACATGCATTTACAAGAATTTCAGAGGAAATGGTTAAAGTCTTTGGCTGTGCTGGGCAGAGTATGAGAGTGCTCATACTGCACAGCACTCCTTAGAAGTGATGGAGCAGAGAGTGAGCGAGAGTGAGCGAGAATGTGATTGATACTTAGAAAATCCAAAATGCAGAAGAAAAGAGACTTGGTACAGGAAGCAATGAGAAATTCAAATTTGACATTAAAAAAACAACATATGGAGCTTCATATATGATGGCAAATACTGAAAGCTGAGATGTGGGTTGGCATTTGGAAAAATTTTAATATAGCTTGATTATTGTTGTTGTTTTTGGCTGAGGAGCTGTTTGAGAACCTCTTCCGGAAGCCAGCAGGGATTGATTACTGTGCGGAGCAGTGTATGTTCAGTAGCACTGGGCAGGCAGCCTCAAAGCACTGATGGAGCAGCCTTCTGCCAGGCTCCTGGCCTTGGAAAGTTTGCTGAATTTCCTGTAGGATAAATCACAGAAGGTCTCCCAAGCTGGAACAGCTTATATTTAGTGCTTAAAGATATGTTTAGGGTAGAGTGTC